GAATATCTCTGATTTATAGTTGCCTGTTAATTGGGGTTTTTAAATTGTTTTTATTTTCCCCTAATCCCTTATTTTGTTCCCTACATCCTTCCTATAAGTGAAACCATCCAATATTTTTCTTTTACCTACTGGCTTATTTCACTGAGAATAATCCCTTCTAGGTCCATCCATGTTGCTGTGAATGGCATGAGTTTATCTTTTTTGATTGCTGAATAGTATTCCACTGTGTACATAAACACCACCTCTTCTTGATCCAATCATCTATTTTTGGGCATTTGGTTTGTTTACAAGCTTCACCTATTGTAAATAGTGCTGTAATAAACACAGGTGTGCAAGTCTCCTTTTGAATTAATGTTTTTGTGTCCTTTGTGTAGATTTTTAGGGATAGAATTGTTGGGTCATATGAAGTTCCATTTTTAGTAGTTTGAGGAACCTTCACAAAACTTTCCCCACTGGTTGGACTGGTTTGCATTCTTACCAGCAGTGTAGGAGAGTTCCTTTTTCTCCATACCCTCATCAACATTTGCTGTTATTTTTTTTAAACATGTTCCATCCTCACTGGTGCAAAATGGTATCTCATTGTGGTTTTGATGCGCGTTTCCCTGATTATAAGTGATGTTGAACATTTCTTCATATTCCTGTTGGCTATTTGCATTTCCTCTTTGGAAATGTATCTTTTAAGTTCTTCTGCCCATTTTTTTTAACTGGACTGTTCACTTTGTTTCTGTTGAGTCATGTGAGTTCTTTGTGACTCAAGATCTTTGTGATCACCTCTTGATAAGGAATGGTTCTTAGGAAGCATTTTAAGTGAAGAAAAAAAAAAGCTAAGATTCCATGTAAGGATTAAAAAGAATATATACAGGTATATTCATAAAAGTGTAATCATAGAATATCCCTAGAAGAGTACACTAGAGTGAGTAAAAGTGGTAAAAGTGTTTACTTCCATTGAGAAAATGGAATACTTGGGGTATGAAGAAGGCACATTTTGAATTTTGAATCATATTTATGCATTTTCTATTCAGAAAATAGATTTTAGAATATAGCATAAAAATGGAAATAATATTAAGACCTACCTCAAAAGATTTGCATATCATTTAGGTGATCTGTGGAATACATGTAGTAAAGGTGCTCATGGTTTCTTGGTTCACTCTGTCCTTAGGGTCTCAGTAATTGTTTTCACAGTGCCCTTATGCCAAAATAAATACTTAATATTTCTGTTTTAAGCAGGTAGGTGCAAAAACCCCCCATCTACTCAAAATAGTGCATGCCAAGTCTGCCAGATGTTGCTGTGTTTTTCTCAAAAGTTGAAAATATAGTAACCCAAAGAGTTGGCTGTGGTACCCTTGGGGTACGTTGGTACACAGTTTGGAAGTAGAACATCTTCAGATGTATAGTTGGTGTTAAGTACATGACATTTGTCATTATTGTTAGATATCTGGACAACCTGGGTATCAAAGAGGATGCTGATCTTTCTGGGGAGTAATCTCTTCAAGTCCTAGGTATCTTCTAAGTCAATACTGACTCACCCCAGTCTGGAAGGGGAGAATGATTTCTATGAACACAGATAAGAAAATCTTGTTCTCAAGGCAGTACCATTTTCTAGATTTACTACTCCCAACATTTTCTCACTTCCCTACCCATGCTCATCAGTCAAGTCACTCTCTCAGGAGACACTTCAATTTGCTGGATTAAATATACTTTCTTCTGTCTCTGTCTGGCCTCCCATACTTTCCTTTTCCTTACCCTCCTTCCTGTCCCTCTCTCCACGTCCCTCTTGGCCAGTATCTATCTGAAACCTGGCTTTTGCCCCAATAAAATGACTAATGGAGGCTGGTTACTCAGGAAAAATGATTGGCTGAATTCTGTTTTGAGTCTCAGCTGGGTACTGATAACTTATTGTAGCATATCTCCTTTCCCTTCCCTAAGGGAGCCAAGGAAAAAATAAACTAAAAGACTCCAGAAGATGGCCTGTGAGCTTAGGTACCCATCAAAGGCTGACAGGACTGAAGGTGGGGACTACGCTGAATTTAACTCTTAGTAATTGAGGTCCATGGGGCATTTATGACATTTTCCTAGAGGCTAGTACTGAGTTTCCGTATATTCATTTGGTTAGATTCACTGAAGGGAAATCTGATGTTTGAGAAATAAGAAGGAATGAAAGAGCAGGCCTATCCATGCACTGTTGACTGTTGGCCTCCTTGTGCTGGCCAGTGGAGGCTGGGAGCAGCTGGCTGGCTTTTTAGCCCCAGCCAGCAGCATTTGCTTTGGCCACTAGGGAAAAGAGCACTTTGTGGAAAGCCAGCCTTCCCAGCCAACGGCCTATTTTTGTCCTGAATCTGTGGAGTCCAGCCTGAAGGCTGCGTCCAGTATCAACAGAAGCCATGGAAAATGGGACTAGATGTCTGGCGGTCAGAACTATGGGCTTTGTCTTCCTGACCAGGCCATGCATCCCTGAACCCATGAAGACAGATGAGGAACCAGGGTCCTGTGGCATAGGACCAGAAAGAGCTAGCTGTCCTTTGAGTGGTTATTGCAGCTCAGGACAGGTGGGAATACATCATAAGGCCTCACCCCATCCCAAGCTATCTGTTCTAAGAAGGTGGATATATGACTACAGTTAACACAGTTGCCAAAGTGCCTGAGATCCCTAAGTGGGGACCTCCTCACACGGAGAGGCCACTAGATCACTATGTCAATAGCTTAGTTGACCAAACAGATACAATGGGGACACGGAGATATTGGTTCCTATCCCTTTCCTCCAGGATCTTAAGATTCCAGGTGTTTTTTGGGGGGAAACAGACCATTTTCACAAAGAGATATTTTTAGCACTGGACAGGGTAGATAGAATAAGGATCATGGGAGTGAAGGAGTTGAGAAAGGGCAAGAAGAATTTCAGTTTCAGGTGAGTCCTGAAAAGTGTATAGGCACCAGATAAAGATGTGGTGAGTGTTCTCTCGTGCTCCTAAAGCTGACAAATACTTTGAAATTGACCTAACATGCATATTTGATTTGCTGTAAGATCTTAGTCTCCAACCAGATTGTGTTCACAAGACACCAATACTGAGATGGTTCTATATCTGAGTGACCAGAGCGACTGGAACTTCTCAGACCAAAATAGAAGTAGAGTGATATCTGGAAGCATGAGTCATCTTTCTCAAGTCCTGATTTTACCCTGTCACTCAGCTATATCCTAACCTGAAACCCAAGAATTGCTCTTCCAATTCTTTCAGGATGACCAAGCAACTCTCTTTGGTATGCAAGGCCTTTCATTGGTGAGGCAAACCCTCCTTTCCAGCCAGTCTCTTATTCATCTTGGAAACTCCAAGCAGTCCCTACAGGCAAAATCTTCTCATCTTCTGAAGTGTGGGATTTAAAGAAGTGGTTTTAAAGTTGTTTGTGGACTCAGAGACCTTTAGCACCAGTTCTTCTGTCCACTGGATAATTTCAGATTTGTTGTGATGTTCTTCACTCCCATATTGATCATTCCAATTACATTTTTACTTGAATATTCTTACTGAAAATGGATTCTTTGTTACTCTAGATCAGAGGTCAGAAAAATTATCCTGTAACAGGCCAAACTGCAAATACTTTAGGCTTTGAAAACTGTAAGGACTTTGAAGTATCTACTCAGTTCTGCCATGGTAGCAGGAAAGATGCCATAGAAAATATGTTAAGGAATGACATGGTCATGTTCCAACAAAACTTTATATATGGGCTAGAATGTGAATTTTACATTATTTATGCACATTGCAAAATATTTAATTATTTTAACCATTAAAAATGTAAAACCATTCTTAAATTATTTGCTATACAAAAAAGTGATGGATTAGTTATCGTCCCCAAGCCCTGGCTTGCCAATCTCTGCTCTACAAGACAGAACTCAGACTCTTGGGTACAAACACTTGGGGAGACAATTTGACTTAAATTTTTAAAAATTATCAGATTTATAAGGAAAGGAAATAGATTTTCCAGGAAGTTGAAACCCATCCAAATGTATGCAAGCCTCGCTGGTTAAGGATGTCATGGAAGGACTCAAAGGTCTTGTGGGGACTTAATGCTTTGTAAATGTATAGAACTGTTCATTTTGGGGAGTCAGTTTTTCTTCTCACACATGGTCATCATTTCCCAATTACTTACTGTCGTTCTTTTATTTTTGAAGCTCTATGTGGTCTTCCAGCAACCCTCTCCCCTAATATTTAATGACACAGTCTCAATATGCTGTTTCCATGTATGCACATATTGTTTCCCTTCCCCAAGCCCAGAGGTTAATGTAGAAAGGGCAAGGTTCAGCGGATAGCGCCTACACTGTTACCTAGCAACCATCAGGGGCCTGGCAATTACTGCAGAGGCCATTGTGGAAAGATGGTCTGTCCCAACAATTAGGGCAGAGTAAAGAGCTAATGAGACAGCACTTGTACGTTCCCTTTATTAACTATAAAAGCAGCTTGAGTCTATTTAAGAGAATATATTAACTTTGTATTTAAAGGAATTTAAATTTGCTTCAATAATTTTTTTTTTGCTCCCCTCCCTTCCACAATGGTCTGATCCTGTTTCTTGGAACAGCATCCCCCCCTTTCTGCCAATCATCCATTGTGGTCTGATATGTGTCTCACAGACTACCAGATCTACTGTGTTCTTACTCTCCCCTCTTCTTTCCACCCGTAGCCCAGAGTGCTCTGGAGGAGTCTGACAGAAAAGCATCCGTGTTCAGCCTTCTGTACCGCTCAGTGGTTCGATCCTGTCTTGAGAGCATCAGCATCTTTCCCACACCAGTGATTTGATCCTGCGTCATTTAGCATTAGTTTCCTTTAGCTCCTCCCCCGGGGTCCACAGTGGTTCGATCCTACTTCACAGACTCTCAAATCCTTTCTGATCCCCCTCCAGCATCACCAACACGAATGGTATGGTCCTTAGCATCAGGTCTTTTTGTACCCCCTGCTGGTCTTCTAAGCAGATTGAAGCAGCTTCATCTCATTCCTGATTCATCTTGATCCCTTCAGTGGCTTATTCTGACATTAACACTGTAAAATTGGCCCAAATGGGTTTAAAGTGGTCAGAACTTGCTCTTGATTAGTTGAAATCTTTTCTCACAAGGAAAAATAATTTCTGACCAGTTCCCTATTTTGACCAGTTTAAACTAATCCTGCAGAGCTAGAGCCTGAGGTCGGTAAATCCAGGAAGATGGCTGAAGATGAAGTTGATTCGAGCCAAAGCAAGGAATCAGGTACTTACAGAAATTGAAAGTGAGCTCAGGACTAGAACAGAAAACAGACAAATGAAACAGGAAAATTCAGGAGCCAGGGTTGGTTGAGGGGTGGCTTAAAGGAATTAGTTGCACCCAAGCCTGGTTTGTTTGTTTTTTGAGAGGTGAGAGGCCATTTTGAGGAGGTAATGCAGGATTTTGGACTTGCTTTGGTATGCTTGGAAAGCAGTATGGGAGCTGTTATTATCTAGCAGCTCCATCCTGCTGGAGTTGAAACTAAGTTGTATGTGGCCTAGTGATTCCTGGTTCTCCAAGCCAGCTCCTGGGACCAGTCTTTTTGTCTAGCCTCATCCTAGGTCACAATTATTACAGTTCCAGACCACGAGTGGCAAGCTTCACACCCTTTAGTTGCAACAGTCACGATGTTGTTAGCTGTTTAGAAGGGACTGATGAGTCTTCAGGAAGAGTTAATTACAACAAGTAAGACACAAAGTGAATAACTCAGTTAATTAGAATTGAGGGCTTGCATTTTTTTTAGGGAGATGTACAAGAGAAGGTGGTAGGTGTAATGGCATCTATTCTTTCCCCATGTGGGACTGGTTATCTCCTTATTGTTATGGGCAGAAGTAGAAGTTGGCCTGTGTTGTCTGGATTTCCCCCTTTCTCCCAGGTTGTTGTCTTTCTTCCTTTTTTTTTTTTTTTTTTTTTGGTGGTGGTGGTGGTGGTGACTGCAGTGGGAAGGATAGGAACTAAAAATCATGTGGGGATGAAAAAGAAATGTTCATAAACATTAGTGCAAAATCTCTACAGCGGGTCAGTGGGCAGCTTGAATGCTTTGATGATCAGTGAAAGAATGCTGCAAGATGAGGGTGGGGCTGAAGTTCTGGTTTGGTGCAGAATGTCTTGACATCTTTTTTGTAGCTGGATGAGTTCTATAGCTACTTACCTGTAAGGTCAAAAAGAAAGGATTCTAGAATGGCATAGAAACTTTGCTTCCTAGGAGGGATATTGACTATTCTGATCCTTTCATGACAGAATTTGGTTTAGGGGCCTGTAATTTGAAAGACATCTTTGAGGAAGATAACTGTTGTTAGTCACTGCCTATTTCTTCAGGGGAGCATGCATGGTGGCCATTTTAGTCAAAGCAATTGAATGACACTTCCAATTTGAGGTAGAAAAAATATCAGGAGATTTGTGATCAGATAACCCATGCTTTGAGTCCTGGCTCTGCTATTTGCTATGTGGATATTCAGCAAATTATCTAAGTTCCAAATCACTTGTTTTCCTTGTTTGCAAAATAAAGTTAGTATATGCCCTAAAAACAAGAACCTGAGAGTCTTTTGGAGCAGAGTAGCTGCCATTCAACATTTTTGTTTGCTCAAACTAGATTGTGTGGCTGGGATTATTTTTGTGTGTATATAGGGCAATATTACATAATTTAGATTGATAAAGACAATTTATTTTTAAATTTTCAGCAATGATGCTCCTGATGAAGCTGATACTCCTAAATGGAGCAAAGGAGCAGTGTTAATTGAAATTCTTTAGAAATTGTAAAGTACAATGTAAATTGTGAGCTACTTTCATATTTATATGTTGATTATCATTAAAATGACACTCTGAAAAGCCACAGCCTAAAATGGCTTCCAGTGTTGCAGACTGACATATCTGTCTGGCTCCAGAGTCAGTTCTCTTCCTCCTTCCTCCTGGGCCTCCGACCACCTGAAGCGCTGAGAAGTGGTATGTGGCCTTGTAAACTGCAGTTCTCTAGGGGGGCATCTTGTGAGAGAAATGAGTTATGTATGTGCCCTGGCATAGAAACAGGGTGTCCTTGAGCCACAGACATCTTGAAGCTATTTTATCGCAAGGGAGACCTGGGATGCTTCACTTGGATTCTGTCACCTTCCTCCAAGTGGCAGGATAGGGTAAAGGTACTACAGGAAGGCAATGATGTGGACCTTCATGAATGTGGAAATTACTCCGTCATTTGCAGGTGAGGGGGATGGGAGTGAGATTGGCAATAGAGCCTGAGCTTGAATAAATTCAGTTGAAATGCATTTGTGCCCATAATGACTCAGTTGGGAAGTTGTGTCCTGTATTCAGATTTGTTCTCTGGGAAATGTGGACTCTCTTGATAGTCATTTGACTCATAGATACAAGTATGTGATAGGTAACAGTGTGCCTGTATTGCAGGAAGGCACGTGATGAAGATTTTTTACTTTTATGACAAATAAGATGGAGGAAACATGAGCCAGAACATTATTTAGCTCAATTCTGAAATAGTTAAAAAAAAAAAAAAAGTAACTGTTGAGCACCTGCTCTGTGTCAGGCTTTGTACAAAGTATTTTATATGCATTAATTAGTTTAAACCACACAAGAACCTTATGAGTTATGTGTCATTAGTTTCACCTTATAAATGAGGAAACTATTTGCAAAGGGTGCAAATTATTGATTCTATATTTCTTTGGAGCAGAAAGTCTTAAGAAGTAGGTCTGTGAGAGGTATGTAGGGGATAAGTGTACATTCTCTGAGGGCTTCTCAGAATCACTTGGGTGAGGATTATTCCAAACCACATAGGCCTTACCCCCACTAGAGTTCTCCTCTTTAGAAGGCCTGTCCCTCCTTGAGTATCTGATGTTTTATGAGCTACTGGGATTTCCATGAATGGGTGGTAGGATGGACTCTCAGGCCTATTGAAGGCAGGAAAAATGTTTGCACTTCACTATTGCAAAGAGATATCCTTGGCACTGGTGCTCTGGGCCTGGCCTGTCCTGGTTTCAACATTTTAAAAAAAGATGTATTTATTTATGCTTGCAGAACTGGGGTACAGGCCAGAGATGTGGTAGGTGAGAGGGTTCACCAGAGACAGAGTGGGGAGCAGAACAGGCAGATGTAATGAATACACTGCTGAGGGGAGCAGCAGGCAAGACAGGAGAGGTCTGCCATGCGTGTGGGTCAGCTCCCTGGCGGGGGATTGAACTTGGGCTACAGTGGCTTCAGAGAGCTTCATAATGTGGTGCTTTAACCCATTGTGTCACCAGGGAAAGCCCCAGTTTCAACATTTTAATTAATGACTTGGTTGCAAATGTAGAAAAATCTTCTGATCAAATGTTGAGAACTGGAGTGGGAGGGTAATATATGTACTGGGTGACACAATCTGGAATCCAAGCAGAATTTACTAGACTGCAAGGATGGTTCAAAAGCAGCAACATTTAGTTGATAAGAATAATGGAAGATCTTGAATTAGTTCCACAAACTTAAAGAAAGTAACAACTCTACAGATTGGGTAGATATTTAATATGACTGCCAAAAATGTTAATGGGAACTTGGACTGCATTATTAGGATCTAGAATGTAGGGGTGATTATTCTACCCTTTTCTGAGTTTGCAAACCTCATGTTTTGCTCTTTTAAACAGAGACAAAGACAAACTAGAGGTTAAGAATGGAAGTCTGGAGGGCCAAGTCTGGCATGATCACTATGGTCCCGCTGCTACAGGACTGTCATAAGGGAGAGGGTCTTGTCTTTATTATGTGACCCTAAGAGACAGAATTCAGATTGTTGGGTAGAAATCACAGCAAGGTTGCTGGAGGGCTGTTAGCTGAGAAGGCCTGGAGGTGGAGCACAGTTATAGCAGCAGGTGCCACAGTGTGCCAATCAGTGAGGACACATAGTAAACAAATGTGACATAAAACAGTTTAATGCCTGTGGGGATTAGGAAGGGAATGAATTCCCTATCACAGAAGATATTGAAGCAGAAGCTTGCTGGCTGTTAGGGAATTAAGTGCTACTACAAAACTTTCAATGCTGCCTAAATGCTGTATTTCAGTAGGTTGAAAGTATTACTGTGAGTATTTATTCAATGTCTTTTCCTGGTTGATGGAAAGGGTAGTTGATCAGAAAGGAGAGGTGTAGTATAGATCCTGCTAATAACTAGTGAATCCAAAGGAACCCTGGTGTTAGCAGGTATGACCCAACCAAGCCTGAAGGAAAGAAAGATTTACTAAGTGCCTAGTATATGCTTGGTGCTTTTACACACATTTCTCCTTGTTTTTCGTGACAGTCAGGTGAATTATATCTTTTCTTTTTAAAGATTTATTTATTTGTGCATACAGAACTGGGGTACAGGCCAGAGGCTCAGGGGTGGCGAGAGTCTTCACCAGAGTCAGTGGGGAGCAGAACAGGCAGATCTATGAAGTACACTGCTGAGGGGAGCAGCAGGCGGGTCAGGAGAGGTCTGCCACGCCATGTGGTCACCTCCTGGGCAGGTGGGAATCGAAATCATGTGGAAGTGGCTTTAGCTTCTCAGTGCTGTTCTTTAACCCGCTGCGCCACAAGGGAGGGCCAGGTGAATTATATCTTATTGTGTTTCTTTTATAATGAAAAAATTGAAACTCAGAAAGGTTAAATGACTTGCCCAAGGTCATGCATCTATTAAGTGCCTTTGGAGGGGAGACCATCAGAACGCTACACAGGGAAAATATCACAGAATTTCTACTTTTTACCTGATCACTTCTCCAGTTGAATAAAGAGTGGGTATTGCCAGAGGCGAGTTAGGGTTGTGTGGAGAGTGCGTCACACTGGGCTGGGTGCCTGGAGTAGATGAGAATATCATGAAGATATATGATCAGCCTTTAGTTCAGCAGGTCCTGGAGGATGGTGTTGGAACACAGCTGAGCTATTACACAAACTAAATGGCATGACTGCTTATTCATAATGTCTGTACCTTATGCGGATAATGTCTTCTGTAGATTCAGAACCACAGCAGCAGGAGGATGTCAATAACTTCAAAATCCAAACATGATTATTTTAAAGAACACAATTAGTTCAGAGAGGAGAAGGGACTTCTACAACTTCTGGCACTAATAATTTTACCCCTGATATTCCCAGGTGTTTGTTTTAAAATGTAATCTAACAAATTTAGAATTAGAGCTTCTTAGAGCAGATTTGATTTTCTAGAAGTGCCAACTCTTTTGTGAAACTTGCTACTCTGTTTTAGAACTAAGATAGATACAGCATTTTCTTT